TAAAATTAGTTTTAAACAAGCATTATTACAAGATCTAAAACAATGTAATTCAGAATACAAAATTAATTATATAGATAAAGCTTTAAATGAAATGGTAAAACTTGCTAAAAGCAATTCAGCATATAAAAAAGATGATAGAATAAGTATTGCATTATTTAATCCAAACATAAAAACTCCCATATATACTGGAATGAGATCTGACGATATCATAGTAAACTTAAAATCTATAGTTGATGGTTTATTAACTTCAAATGAAGAAATTGATATTACAGAAACTACTTTTCAAGTTCAAATAGTAAACATACCCAGAGGTTCAAATGGAAATAAAATAATAAATTTATCAGAAGATATCCATACTAAAAGAAGTATTATTAAGATTAATAATGATGATAATTTATGTTGTCCGAGAGCTATTGTTGTTGCATTATCTACTCAAACAAATAATATTTTAGATCATGAATTAGATTCTAATAAAATTAAACAATTGAAGATAGGTTGAAAAATTCAAAAAGATTTAGCTTTAGAATTATGTAATATGTTAAAAGAATATAATGAAGAAGGATTTACATTGGATGATATTCAAAATGTGGAAAAAATACTAGATATACAAATAAATATTATTTGTGCTGAAAGTTTAAATGCTTTAATTTATAAAGGTGATGATAAAGAAACTAAAATTTATTTGTATAAAAATGGTAATCATTTTGATGTTATTACAAAAATGGCAGGTTTTTATGGTTCTTCTTATTATTGTGAAAAGTGTAATAAAACATATAAAAATAAAAATGAACATGAATGTGTTAAAGATAAAAATGTACGTAAAAATGTATGTAAAAGAGTCCGAATGGGGGACGCGTTAAATATAGAATATATATACATTTTAGCCGCAACTTCAGTTGCGCGGGTATACATACATATATATATATATATACATATACATATACATTTTAGCCGCATGAATAGTTGCGCGGGTATACATACATAAATATATATACATATATATATATATATATATATATTTCATTTAATATTTGATATTATCAAGTCGGAACAACACAGATATGTTTTATATGCTTATCTACACTACATATTAAAAGTTTACCCCCCGTTTCATATTTTTCATTTAAGTATAACTCCGTTACTATTTATGTTAGAATCTTCATTTTTACATTAAACATTTTTGATTTTAATTCTTTATAAGTCCCCCTCATAGTATCATAGTGTAAAATCGTTTTCAAAGATTTTTGGATTTTAATAACGCGCGCCCCATTCGGGTGAGCGTTAAAATAAAAATGATAATAAGGAAGTTATGGGATTTTGTGATAATAATAACACGTGCGGAAAAAACGCACGTGTTAAATATAGAAAAAAATACATAAATTTATAGAATTTTTAAAAAATTTAAATGTAATGACGCGTGTCCGAATTGGACACGTGTTAAATATAGATATGAAATGCATAAATTTTTAAAAAATAATGATATTGAATTTGAACAGATTTGTTTAAATTTTTTGTAATTTTAACAGATTTGTTTAGATTTTTTGTAATTTTTAACAGTAAAAATGTTTTTTCAATGTTATTTTAGATTTTTTTTATGCTTTTTTGTGTGTTTTTTTATGCTTTTTTATGTTGTTTATGCATTTTTTAATGTTTTTTATTCAATTTTTAAAGATTTTTTAAGGCGCTTTTTTTGTAATATAAAAAGTGTACCATACGTGCCCATATACTACTTATATAATATTTAAAAAAGGCCTTATATAATATATTTTAATGTCTATATTTTAAAACTGATTATAGTATACCTATATAATAACTAATTAACAATTCTGATTAGTATTTGATACATTTAATTATAAGATAACTAGAGACATGATGTCAATGCCCTTAATATTATTATTCAATCACAACAAAATAACTAAAATAGTTATTCTAGGTTTTTTAATATGTAATTTCGTCCAAAATTTGAACTTAAAATGACCATAAAAATAAACTGTGCTAGTGTATTTTTTTTAGATTTTTTGGTAACAGAATTAACTACTTACGTGGAATCTTGTTTTAAATTAGAAATCCTCAGCTTTAAAAACTGAAACATTTTATAATTTATTAATTACAATGATTGATAATTTTCGAGATTTTGATAAATGTTGTCAAAATTCGATCTTTAAATGCTTATAAAAAAAATGTTGCTTATGTATTTTTAATATTTTTCAATTGCTATTGTAACAATATATCAGGAGCCTTGTATTAAATTGTTACACTTTTCGGCCCAACCAATAAAACTTTATTGATATTTATAGAAAAAAAAACTAAAATAATTGAGAACTGAAAATGTCTGTAAACAACTCAAAAGAAGTCAAAATATTTTGGATCTATAGCTCTCCATCCCTTAAAAAGGGGGTGCGTACCCTCTTTTCAATTTTACAATATAACTTGTTAAATTTTGGACTAACGGCTAAAAAGTATAGAACAAAAATTGTCTATAGAAATATGTCATTTGACATACGGTTAGTCAGCCTATGATATTACGAAGTATATTTGATGATACTAAGATGAATAAAGTAATTTATATATAACTTATTTACGTGGAATCTTGTTTTATATTTTCAATCCTTATTAAAATTTGAACTTTAATTGCTTATAAAAAAAAATTGTGCCTTAAATTTTTAATATTTTTCATTTGCTATTGTAACAATATATCAGGAGCTTTGCAATACAATTTCACGCTTTTTTACCAAATATATAAAATTTTATTGATATTTATAAAAAAAATTGAAAACTGAAAATGTCCGCAAACTGCTCAAAAAAAGTTAAAATATTTTCAAAATTGTATGGTGTATAGGAAATGCTAATATGAACATTCAGTGAAATTTTCAAGTATTTAAAGTCATTCGTTTTTTAATCACAACAAAATAAGAAAATCGTTACACGAGAAATCGAGTGAATATGAAATGTTGTATAAATATGAATTTCAAACGCTCATAACAATTTAATTTTAGTTTTTTGCAGACATTTTTTTTTTGATAAAGGTAGACGAACTTATGAGGAATCTTGTATTACATTTTCATACCTTAGATTTAAAAAGAAAAAGAATTTCTAACTCGAAATAATTTGCTAATTTTCGTGATTTTTCCATATTTTGTCAATTTTTGAACTTTAATTGTTCATAACAAAAAACTGTGACTAAGGATTTTTAATATTTTTCATCTGTCTTTGAAACGATATATTATTAGGAGCTTTCTGTTAAATTTTTAAGCTTTTGTACCCAAAAAAAAAATTTTATTGAAATTTTAGTAAATAAAACTAAAAAAAAATGGAAACTAAAAATGTCCGTAAAGAGCTCAAAATAACTTAAAATATTTTGAAAATTTTATCATGTATAGAAAATGGAACTATAAACAATCAGTGAAAATGTCATGTATATATGGTAATTTGTTATAAAGTAATAACAAAAACCAAAATCGATTTTGTGGAAAACCAATTTTGCGTAAAATGTACCGTTTTTCCTTAATTTTTATGTTGTTTTTCTCGGCGCTTGTGAAAACTATTGAGAATTTTAAAATTTGACCTTCCGAATGCACTAACTAGATTCACTTTCCCATCGAACAAGATACTGTTGAAGAAAATCGAAGCAGTCGACAAACCTCGATGACAGACACAAAAATAAAAAATTGAAAAAAAAACACACATCATTGTAAAATCAATACATTCATCGTTTCACTCATTATCTAAATAAAGTAGAAATAATATAAAATATTATATTACTATAAGAAAAAACCACAAATCTAAAATTTGAGAAAAATGTCCCTCATTGTACACACTGAAAAAAATGTCATTAAATATGAATAAATTAGGTATTCAAAAATATTAAAAAATGAAGTTAAAATGGCTAAAAATGCAAAATAATATTAGGATATTCTTAATTAAGAGAACATGAAACAAATTTTTAGCATTTTATAGGAGCTAAAAAAAAAAATTTTAGAGTCATCAACATCCTATCTCTAAATTTATTATAACCTATAAAAAAAAAAATATACAATTTAATACATTTTTCTAAGATTTTTGAAATTGATAGGGTTAAAGATATTGGTCTATAATTCTCTGGTAAGCATTTATCACCAGATTTAAATAATGGTATAACCCCTGCTTTTTTGAAGGCATGAGGAAATATACCTAACTCAATCACTTTATTAAATATAATTTCCAAAGGTTTTGAAATAGATGTGGCAGTCATTTTTAATACCTTATTTGATAAATTATTTTCATAAAAAGAACAATAAGCCTTAATTTTAAATATGAACTTTACAATTTCATCACAAGTGATAGGAGTAAAATATATACTATCATACACATAGCACCCCTTATTTAAATCCTGAAAATTATCTTTAATATAATTTTTATTTAAAATATTATCATAGATATTCCTCCCTACTGTGGAAAAGAAATCATTAAAAATAATAGGAATAATTTTATTATCAAATATCTTAGAGCCCTCATTGTTTGTTAAAGAATGTACTGTATTTTTAGAATTATTTGATGTGTTATTACTTATTAGTCACATATTTAATTGTTTCTCAAAGTTTTTTATCATTGCATTAATTATTGTATATTTTATTATGATAATAAATACTTTTGGCTTTCTTAATCAAAATGTAAAGTAAATTTCTAAATTTGTTATACTCAGAAATTAATGTAGTATTATTTGGATTTTTGAACTTTTTGACCATACATTTTTTCTCTGTGCCTGATAGAAACAATGATTCCTTTTGTTATCCATGATTTTAATTTATAATTAAAAGAATTAAATTTTCTAGACATTTTTTTAGTAAAATTAATTATACATATATCAATCTTGTTTATAAAATTAGAAACATCATTATTGATATCATTACAACTTAGTATAATATCCCAATTTAAATTATTAATACATAAATTTAATTCATCAAAATCAATAACCGTTAAAACTTTATTCATAATATTGCAATTACTATACGGATTATTGATTAACATTTAAGTTTTATAGATAGGATTATACTAAAATGATCTGTAATTGAAGATAGGAAAACATATGATTTAATATTACCAGGTAAAATTATCTTAATGAAGAAATGACCTAAGCACGAATCAGCAGTATTTGATTGTCTCGTTACATTATTAATGCAAGAATAAAAATCAAAACCAGCAAAAATATTTAAATAATTAATAACCTTTAGATAACTACTTTTTAAAATATTAATATTAAAATCACCACAAATAATATGATATTTAATATCAGAACTTTGTGTCAAATAATTATTTAAAGAATATAAAAATGCATCAATATTATCACTAGGGGACCTATAACACCCCATAACAACAAACTCTATACCATTGATATCAAATTTGAATTCAATGGAATTAACATTAGACATAAGGTTAGTACAAACATTTTTGACTAGATATCTATTCTTAATAAAGATAGTAACACCATCTGATTTATTATTTACAGCAAGAGAATTAAAGGATTGATGAACATTAACAATACAATTTACATCATTTAAAAGCCAAGTTTCATATAAAATAACAATATCAAAATTAACCATTGAAGTACTTAATAATACTAACAATTTATCAAAATGGCACTTAATACTACTTATATTCATAGCAAATATGGAAAATTGCTTATTGCCTAGATTTAAAGTATTTAAGTCACTAATATTTTGTGTTACAACTGAATTAACCTGATCAATATCAGATATACAAAATTGGATATCATTATTCATTAATTAATGACTTTCTTATAGATATTTTTTTTTTTGATAAAGGTAGATAATCTTATAAGGAATTTTGTATTAAATTTTAAAACCTTAGATTTACAAAAGAAAATTTTTACGAATTCTTAACTCAAAATAATTTGCTAATTTTCGTGAATTTTCTATATTTTGTCAATTTTTGAACTTTAAATGCTTATAAAAAAAACTGTGACTAAGGATTTTTAATATTTTTCAAATGCCATTGTAACAATATAGTAGGAGCCTTGTATTAAATTTTCAAGATTTTTCAACCAACAAATAAAATTAAATTGATATTTTTAGAAAAAAAACTAAAAAAAAATTGAAAATAAAAATGTGCCTATACATCGGTTTTCCAAAAAATAGATTTTGGTTTTTGGTGTAACTCTAAAACAAATGATCGTAGATACATGAAATTTTCACTGGTTGCTTATAATTGCATTTTCTATACACGATAACATTTTCAAAATATTTTGATTTATTTTGAACTGTTTAGGGACATTTTCATTTTCCATTTTTTTTTCAAAGTTCGCGATATCGATATCGTTGAAGAAGCCTATACTCTATAGATAAGTATATAATATGTCTTATACCTAGACTGACATAGGTACCGTCTCCGCTCAGAATCGTTTTTCTTATACAATGCTATTATATCGTTGAATTCAAATTTAATATCATCCATTATACAGTGACCCACTTGTAACCTACTGTACAGCAGAGCGACACCCACTTGCCCACCTTTTTTTAGTTTTTTTCTATAATTGTCAATAAAATTGTATTTGTTGGTGAATAAGAGTGAAAACTGAACACCAGGCTTCTGATATATTGTTACAATAGCAGTTGAAAAATATTAAAAATACATAGGCAGAATCTTTTATACAAGCATTTAAAGTTCGAATTTTTATAAAATGTATGAAATTGAAAATTGAAAAATGATTTTGTAGCTAAATTTATAAAATATTCAACTTTTATAGCTAAGGATTGAAAATTTAAAAGAAGGTTCCATGTAAATAGGTTATATATTATACATTATTTTATTTACCATAATAGCATAAAATACACCTAGTACCTAGTTAGTAATATCATAGGTGGACTAACCGTCTTCGCTCAATATCGTTTTTCTTATACAATGTTATTATATCATTGAATTCAAATTTAACACTATCCATTACAGTTACCCACTTGCCCACAATTTTGTTAATTACTCTACTAACTAAAACTGTAAAGTAATAATATAATAAATAAGCGGCAGCATCGGTGGCTAGAAAAATGTGTTAAAATAGGTAAATGCAACAAAATAATTGACTATTTTGTAATCGTTGCCAGACATCAGACTACCGGACTGGGATTTATCTAACTATTACTATTATCACATACAAGGTAGGTACCTCTGAATTCTTATCCGACCTAACCAGTATATAGTCAGTAGACAATAAATACAATAATAAGGTACCTAGTGTCCTAGTATACCTACATAAACTGTTTCGTCGCCCTGACGTTCTATTGAATATTATAATTTACATATCGTATAAGTACTTTTGGGTAGTTCATTTTTATTATAGCACTAACAAGTAACAACATGTTTGTTAAATTTACAAACTGTTATGGTTTTTTGACAGTAGAACTATAGATTGTTTAATACGAATTAAAATTGAAATTAATTTTTGTTCTGCAGATTAGATACCGGTCACAATAAATCTGTGAAGTTTCCCTCCTCCCTCTTTGACCAGGAAACTAAAAACTGCAAAGATATTGTGCAACTAATTTGCTAAATTTTACTTGGAAGGAAACTCAGAATCTGCATATACCTATCCTAGGTTTTCAGTGGTTGTTCTAAAATTACGTTAACACATACTTACGTTAAAAAATTATGATTTCTGCCTTCTGGTAAAACGCCAAGGGTACCTATGCTAATTCTGAACATTTCCAAGCGAAATATCTATATGTGAAATTTTTAAGTTTCTAGTGATAGTGCTAGTTGCTGGGAGAAGTCAACTTCTCAATTTTAAATTATGAATTTTTTCCAATTATATATTTTCTTTTGAAACTATGAGATACATTACCAGTTACGACATCATCTCCAGGACGTAGGTATATCTTCTACCATGAAAAGATTAAATAAAACTATTAACGAAACTCTTCAGATCAAGTTCATCGGAGTGATCTCAGAAAGCTCAGACCAGATTCAGCTCGGATGAGTATGAATAAAATATCCATTGAAAAACAATAAGTTCGTATTTCTTAGTACACGGATGCCCTGACGGATCGGATGCGTGTGTGACACTGTGACAGGGCCTTTACACGTTTAGCTCTTTCAAGTGTAGTAGCCTACAATGTTTACATAGACAAATTTAAATTAATCTAGATGATGAGATTTGTTTCGAAAAAAAACTATTAGACTTTATACAATAAAAATATTTAATTTAAAATACACATTTTATCACACATGTAGGTAATCCATAAAAAAACATTTTTTAGATAATTATCACAATATATAAATTTCTTTTTTAGTTGGTTTTTATATTATGAAAATATATAATTTAGTTTTAAACTCCTCACGAAAATTTGTTGCAACTGTAGCCTTGAAGATAATATCAAAATGTATTGAATAACACACAAAAAGTGTAAAATATTCAATTAGGATTAAGTCAAAAAGGTGACACAAGTGTAATATTATCAGTTATATATTATTTAACTTAACAAACAAACTAACTTTAAGATTCTGAGTGGCTAAACCTTTTTAGTATACATCGAGTCACAGAGTAATACAAAACTTAATATCAGAATATTAGGTACCTGGTGTACCGTAATTTGCGCATGGTAAATTAAGCGCACGTTTATTGAGCGTGGTAATTATAGCGCACGACAATTAAGCGCATATGACATCTTGGCGATCGTCAAATCAGCGCTCACTACATTTTAGCGTGCGACAATTCAGCGCAATTTAAAAATATCTAATTGAAAGAATTTCCGTGTTATCGATGCAGCAGCAGAAGTTATTATCTATTGGTGTCTAGATAATCGAGATAGTCTGATATAGGCATATAGGTAGGTAACTAGTATAAAATAATTTTGTGGTTAGTATACGTAATGTATTTCGGCTTTCAACATTCAACAACATAATGTCTGTACTACAATATATAACTAGTCAAAGGGGAAAAAAATTATTAGTATACAACAATTATATTCATAGACAGGACAGACGAGATGAAAACAAAATAATTTGGAGGTGCAATGGAAATCAAAAGTGCTCAGGACGGGTCCATGTATCAGAAAGTAAGTACTAGGGCTCGGGACTTCTAGGAGTTTGCATGTTTTTAAATAATCATCAAAAACATAGCTAACTAATATAGAAATTTGTTTCATAGCAATACAAGTTTATATTTAAAATTTATAGTTGCATAATATTTTGCATATTTGACCATTTTTCATTTATAAGTGCATATTTGACCATTTTTCATTTTATAAGTGCATATTTGACAATTATTTATATGAAGGAGTATAAGTATAAAAACGTCGATCAACTCGTATCCAATGTAAAAAAATCATTTCTTAAGGCACCGTCACGTATTCAAATATTAAAATCTGTTGCACCTGATATTCCATTACCTCCGCAGCCTATTTTGACCAGGTGGGGTACATGGATAGATGCGGCTTCACGCTGACTTGTGTTAAGCGGAAATGTCATCGCTGAATTGTCGTGAGCTAAAATGACTGCGCTAAATTGTCATGGAACCTAGGTACCTACCTATACTATATAAATAATAATAATAATAATAATAATAGTCTTTTGAAAAAATAACGGGCTCGAAAAGGTAATGCTGTGGGCCGATGAAAGACGAACGTACTATCTGGCTATATATAACAATACATAGATACCAGTCGTCGCCTGAGAGATTTTCGAATTGATCGGTCTCTGTGTTGGAAGACTTGTATTTAGCTCATTGGCAATTCTCAATTAATATAATATGTCTTATACCTAGACTGACATATCATCTAAGCTCAGAATCGTTTTTCTTATACAATGATATTATAACCTTGAATTCAAATTTAATACCATCCATTATACAGTGACCCACTTGTAACCTACTGTACAGCAGAGCACCTTTTTTTAAAATTATTATTGGCTACTTGTATTTAACTCATTAGCAATTCTCAATTAAAACTGACACATATACCTATCTTTATTATATGATTATAATATGCCAACCTATATAACATAGTTTAATTGAAATTTCATACGTTCATTGCAGTGACCCACCCACTATTATATATTTATATAGCAGTGCAGTACCCACTAGCAGAATTTTTTTTTTTTTAACTTTTTTGTTTTAAGATAGAATAAACTGAGGGATATTATTGAATACGTGTCTTAGGATTATCGACTGAGTGGATATTTTTAGTTTTATTGGATGAGAAATTGACAACTATGTGTAAAGTTTTAAATATTGTACATCTAGTAAAATAATTATATATGTTATTTTTATATAGACTTCGGCAATCCAGAATTCGTATTCGTACACACAGAAAATATTAAATTTTTAGCGTATAGGATTGTTTTAAAATTTCAATGTGCATAATATATTAGTATTTACTGAAATAATTTATATTTTGAACTTTTCATAATAAAATTATACGGTAAAATTCAGTGCCAATTCCGATAGTGGTTTATCACTTTAATCGTTAACGTTATTTATCGAAGCATATGTAGGTATTATGCAGGTGTACACTATAATACTTCTAGATACAAATGTTGTAACATGTGGTTCAAACTACAAAAGAAAAATATAAGACAACTTGTTCAAATAAGTACCTTGGTGTCTTTCTCGATTAAAACCTTACATGGAATATGAATATCCACATAAACAAAA